GCACAACGCGGTTGACGCCGTCTGCTGTTTCCTTTTTGGTGATGAAAGCACTTGCTCTGCCTTTGGTGGTTCTACTGCCGGAATCTTATGTTGTGTGCAAAGCATGGCCGCGTCCAACTAACAGCATGCATTCGAAAGGTATGCAGTTGATCGCAGTGCGCTCAAAGGGCTCGCCCATGTACTCGTCCATGAGATAAACCAACCTCCAATTCTTATTCGGCCGACTGCAACGGACAACGAGAACAAGAACAGATGCACCTCTGCTTGCGACCACCCTATCTCGTTTCTTACATCCTGCCTGCGACGTCCACGGAAACGCCTCTCCCAACCGCCATTACCAGCCATTTTGCTCATAAAGGAGGTGGTACAGGCCACACACTGGACCGCATCCAGATGCCTTTGCTGTTCCAATTGCATTGCATCATACACAACATTCTGCAGATGAATAAAACGCCATCCAAGTCCAAGCACAATGCTGATCACGTCCAAACGATCCGCTGGCACCAATTCCAAGAGTTCATCGACTGCATCATAGAATTCTCGGTGTCTCTCGAACACCTCCGCAGCAATGGCCGCGCAACTCTCTTCAAACAAATCTCCTTCTCCCTCCTTCTCCACTCCAAGCACCAGAACCTTCACTCCAATCTTCTCCAAACGCTCTGCAAAGTTGGCTTGCGCCGTTTTCAGGGCAGGTGCATTGAACACCACCAGCGGAGGATCTAGATTTCGGCAGCTTGTCAGCTGCACGGTGACTGCAGCCAGCCAGGTTGTCTTGCCCCCACCGGCAAAGCTGGACACCACCGTGACCGTCCCCTGGATCTCTGACAGCACCCGGCATTGATCTGCAGAGAAGGTCCCGATCCCAAGATCCACCGCTGCCGCCGCTGCCCCTTGCAGAAATAGATCTTGCTGGGCCCCCAAATAGCTATCCCAGACCGGGCTGGGGACAAACTCCGCTGGCTGGTTCAGACCCAGCCAAGCATTGAAAGCATTGGCTCGCAAGCCTGCCAAACCCTCACTTGACGTTGCAGCTAAACCACCAACATCTTCTTCCAACATTGGTCTCAGCCTCACCAACGCCTCATGCATGTGGATGTACTCATGGATGTCTGCCAAAATCACCGCCGCAACCTGCGACCCTCGATCCAAGTTCACCACAGGTTGCAAAGACACTTGGTCTTGCCGAAAATTGCCCACATTCGATACAAAGTGCACGCTGCCTCGTCCGTACAAATCACTCTCTGGCATATCAATCCAGGCGCGTACCTGCTCCATTGCACAAACCCAAATCATCTTCAGCTTCCAGTCTCGGTTTCGCTCTTCGCTCATCGCCACAACAGACGGGTGACCTCCACGCCACTGCGTTTTGGCTGCACCGCATCCCGAATGACTGCTGGAAACGGGCCCCCAACATCTTCGGACTCCCGGACAGTTTGCTGCAGCTTTCTCTGCAACTGCCCCAGAAGGAGTGTCGCCATGTTTCGAGGTGAAGCACGCGTGCCGCCCATAGGAATCCAGCCGGTCTGCGCCCGAGGCACACTGGTGATCCAGGTTGCCAAGTTCGCTCTTTCCGCTGGCGCCTCCTCCGCGCCAAAAAATTCTGCTATGGACACTCTAAACACTGGGTTTTCTGTCAAAGTCAAAAGACCAGGCTCCAACCCCCTCATCTCACGAAGATAGTTGGCAGCAGCCTCCAGCCTCCGAACATGCTGCCGAGTGATCCCCGGAACACGATTCTCTGCAGCGAGCCGCCCTGCTTCCATTATCTTCGCCAACAACTGATCGCGCCGCCCAATCAAGCTAGCGCATTCCTGCCCATCTTCCGGAAGAGCAACTTCACCCAGACACACTGCAGCAACGTAGCCGTCACTCACGAGCCGTAGTTCCCGGACCGTTTCGATAAAGCGATCCACCCTACAGACCCGAACGGACATAGCGACGTCTTGCCGCTCTAGTGGTCCCTCACGTAACCTCACGTAGATAGTCTGAAGCTCTGAAAAAGCAAAGCCAGGAAACAGATCTTGCAAAGCCGCACTTCCTACCCGATGATTGTACGCCACCAATGTCGCCATGACTTCTCGCTACAAAAACACAACCGCTCGGCTCCAAGAGCACGAGTTCCTTCGTCGGCAAATACACAACCACTCGGCTCCAAGAGCGCAAGTTCCTTCGTCGGCACTCACTCAAAAAAAGTGCTACTTGTGTTTGTCTTTCCCTCTGGTACATGCATGATGCTGTTCCACTACAATGAATGTCTCTTTTTCTCTTTGCCTTACCCTCTACCTCGGCTGTTGAGCCCAACTGCATCACTCGCTGCATCGATATCGCTGGTCTTCTGCTTCTACACTACTCGCATTCTGCAAAACCCACCTCGACTGCTTCAAAACATCACTACTGCACAAGTTACTGCCTGCAACAATCAAAAGCAAAACATCTTCGCTCCTAGACTGCCTTGCTTCGGTCCATTCCACACCTGCATCACAAAGACGCAGCTGCCCACAGGTCCCCCGATTTCGTGCAATGTTTCACGTATCCAACCGAAAAAATCCCTGCGTTTCCATATAAGCACCACTTCCTGCATCACCCTACCGCCTACAGACCATTGACCCGATCTGCAACGTCATCCCCTGCCTTGATGAGAAATGGCTGCAGTCTTTATGCCCGAGACTGTTTGAAAAAGCACTGTGACTAAAACAAACTCTACACTTCAATACCCGTGTTTCGTGTCCAGCTTCTGCCATATTGCATGTATTCAAACATGTTATCGTCTGCTCTGATCGTTTCATACTGCATTCCTTGGCTCCAAGGGCACAAGAACCCGTTCCCGATCGTGATACATCCGGCAGTGGTGGCGGCCCTTCAGCAGCCACGATTGCTTGAAAAAGCACGCTGACTACACGAACGTTTCAAAATAAAGACCATTTCCTGCATCACCCTACCGCCTACAGACCATTGACCCAATCTGCAGCGTCAGCCCCTGCCTTGATGAGACCCATGCCAAAATGGCTGCAGTCTTTGAGCCCAAGATTGATTGAAAAGGCACTGTGACTAGAACGAGCCCTGCCATGATCAACCATCCCACGCTGTTTCCATTGCATGTATTCTAACATGATATCGTCTGCCATGTTCGCTTCATACTGCATTCCTTGGCTCCAAGAGCACAAGAACCCATTCCCGATCGTGATACGTCCGGCAGTGGTGGCGGCCCTTCAACAGCCACGATTGCTTGAAAAGGCACTCTGACTACCGAATACAGAGCATTAACCCGATCTGCAGCGTCATCCCCTGCCCTGATGAGACCCATTCCAACATGGCTGCAGTCTTTGAGCCCAAGATTGCTTGAAGAAGCACTGTGACTAAAACGAACTCTACAACCTACACCGGTTTCGTGTCCAGCTTCTACCAAGATCAACCTTACACCAACGCTGTTTCCATTGCATGTGTCCGAACATGTTATAATCTGCTATGTTCCTTTCATACTGACTCCCTTGGCTCCAAGAGCACAAGAACCCGTTCCAGATCGTGTCACTCCCGGAAGCTCTCTAACCACTTACCCGACCCGCAAAATGGCTGCAGCCTTTTAACCCCACAACCACGATTACTTGAAAAAGCACTCTGACTCCAACGAACTCTACCAACGGCACCTGTTCCGTGACCATAGTGACTTCTAGGGCTATGTTAGGCAATCTTGAATTCATTCCAGTCCATTTTGAGCCCTCGTTCAAGTCCCTATCTCGAGGAAGCATGCTTGAGATAGTGACTTCTGGGGCTATGTTCGACCATATGCAAGCTATGCTCGTGAGAAAATGTTACCGTTCCTGGAAATATGGAAGCTATGTTTGGTCACGTTAGGGGGGGTCTTTCTTCCAGTCCCTTTTGAGCCCTCGTTGGGCTATGTTTACGACGTTCACGTCCCTATCTCGCAGACACGTCCTTTAGATAGTGACTTTTAGAGCTATGTTAGGCAATATCTTTACTTTATTCTAGTCCCTTTTGAGCCCTCGTTAGAAAATGTTACCGTTCCTTATCTCTGCTCCTGTTGAGCCAAATATCCGGCGAACGTCTCGAGCTACCTGCGGAAAAGATACACCAATTTGCGACGTTCCCACATTCTAGCGCTATGTTAGGCAATATGGAAGCTATGTTCGGCCACGTTGGGGGGGGGTGACTTCTGGGGCTATGTTCAATGGAAGTACCTACCTTGACCCGTTCCTGGAGCATGACTGCAGTCTTTGAGCCCTCCCATGCGGTGCGGGCGGTTACCGTCGCGAAGCGACGTGAATATAGTGAGCATCCCGGCACTCCCTTCCTCCCTTCCTCCCTTCTTCCCTTGTTTGCTTGCTTGCTTGCTTCCTTGCTTCCTTGCTTCCTTGCTTGCTTCCTTGCTTGCTTCCTTGCTTCCTTGCTTCCTTCCTTCCTTCCTTCCTTCCTCCCTTCCTTCCTTCCTTCCTTCCTTCCTTCCTTCCTTCTTTGCTTCCTTCCTTCCTTCCTTCTTTCCTTCCTTCCTTGCTTCTTTGCTTCCTTGCTCCCTTCCGTCTTTGCTTCCTTGCTTCCGTGCTTCCGTGCTTCCTTGCTTCCTTGCTTCTTTGCTTCCTTGCTTCTTTCCTTCCTTCCTTCCTTCCTTCCTTCCTTCCTTGCTTCTTTGCTTCTTTGCTTCCTTCCTTCTTTGCTTCCTTGCTTCCTTGCTTCCGTGCTTCCGTGCTTCCTTGCTTCGTTGCTTCCCTTCTTCCCTTCTTCCCTTCTTCCTTGCTTCTTTCCTTCTTTCCTTCCTTCCTTCCTTCCTTCCTTCCTCGAAGACAACAGAACCTGGAATAGTATTCCCAAAACACGTTCGAAAAAAAAAAAAAAACAAACACAGAAAATGGGGTTCCTGTGTATATCCGTGGCACGAGATTAGCATGACTAGAAACGGCACGTGAAGCATGGTTCAGAGATGTTCAGAGTGAAATCAAACAACTTGAAATTATTTTGCTTTGCTGTTCAGCTTTGAAAGCCCCTTCCTTGGCCAAGATCTTCAGCCTGCAAGGGCAAGCTGCGAAGTGCTCCAATATTCTTGTCCCGCTCCAAAGCTCCATACCCTGCCGAGCTCGCAGCCCGTACGCAGCCACCAAAGAGAGGCACAAAACGTGGTGAGACCAGTGGGTTTGAGGAGCGATCCAATGGAGGATTCAGAACATAAACATCCTCTGTTGATTCGAAACAGCTACTCAGCTGTTGGTACTCTGCCCCGTGCAAAAGGCTTCGCATCTCATACTCCACACGGGGGCGAATCCCGGGAAAATCTGCAGCACCGCCCACCAGCACAACTTGTCTTAGCAAGTCGGCGATATCATCTCGCTTGTACTTTCCTAAAGACTGCACGGCATTTGCACACTGGACAATGATGGAAGGAAGGCTCTGGCCTCCTCGATTTGCTTCAAAAAGAACTTCAGGCACAAGTACACGTTCCTCAGCCAGCTCCAAGGTGCCTGCATTTCGGATTCCAGCATAATCTGGAAGGTCAACTGGTATTGGCCTGATTCCAAAGTCATCCCCGGCTGCCAGCCTGGCTCTCATGCTGCCTCTGCCTGGTGGAGACACATAGCAGTAAGCTTCCTTGAGATCTCGACACCATGTCATGAGAGAGCTGTCCACAGAAGGGGCTTTTCGAACCATTAAAGAGACCATGACCTGCGTCAAATCGGCAGAGCCAACATTGCACCTGGTTGAACACGAACCTATCACCTCTCCTCTTACGACTGGCACTGCAATGGTTTGAGCTTGCCCAATGTTCACCACAATGCCGTGGTCAATGCCATGTGCCCACAATGCCATCTGTGCTTGTGAAACAACTTGTACAGCGCCTGGTCGCTGGTTGCTCAATTGCGAACGGATGTGACTATCCCACTGTGCTCCCATTTCACTTCGATTTGCTGTGATCACGAAGGGCTCTCCAATCAAAATGGGCAAATCATGTGCTCGTCTGACAGCAAGAAGTCTTTCTTGGTCGACCTGTTGCCTTTCTGAGTCTCGGGATGTGCCAATTGTGGGCTCAACTAACCAGCGGCCATCTGAGGCGTCACCGCCTCCCCCCTCTTCCCGTGCACGTAGCCTGACGAGGGAGAGGTCCTCAGCACGAACAGCGTAGTGTCCAACTTTGAGCTCCGAACTTGGACCTAATGCGGCCTTGTGGAGTCTGTGAGAGGGATCTTGTGCCGCAGCCATGAATGCTCTGTCGAGGCAGTGATGGATATAGCTAAGTTGTTCATTCCTGTCGCAATCAGGTGGGTGTGTGGGTGAGGAGCACAACTGAACTAGCTGTGGAGGATACCCATCCAATTCCCATCGCCCTCTAACTCCATGAGCAACAGTGTACTTGGTGTATCCTCGACCAATGTCCACAACAATTGTTGGAGTGGATTCCATTCTCACCTGCAAACGTGCTCTCCAATCGATCCCGACTGGTGTTGTTGTTCCCTCTGCGAAGGCCAGCAGTGCGCCGGACGGAGGCCAACAAGTTCTCAAAAACAACTGGAACCAAAGCTCTGCATCTGCTGTCTCCTGGCCAAACAGTTTGCAGCTGGGGGCCAAGCGGGCAGTGTCCGCCACACTCAAGCTCCACACGATTCCAGCACATACTTCATGGGGCATGTGGAGCAAATGAATCTTGCTGGACGCCTCCTCCATCATGGCGAGCTGCCGGCTACTCAAGCCTTTGTGCTTATCTTTCTTTTGAAGTGGATCTACTTCAACCAGCTTGCTTAAGTTCCTTCAGCCAGCTGACTTAAGGTGCTTCAACCAGCTTATTCAACCTATATACTTATTTGTTTGATTGAAATAGCATTTTTAGCAGCGTTGTTGCCTGTGCATTGTGTGGCGGGCGCCTCTCCCTCAAGTCCAAACAACAAGCAAGCAATCAAGCAACCTAGTCATTGAATGTACAATAGGTCAGACTCCCATGTCATGTGCAGCGAACAAAAAGGAATCTGCAAGCAGGTGAACATAATGAACATCCTTTTCCGCCATCTCTGCGGACCTTGCTCTGCTAGCAACCGACTACAATTGAGCGCATGCTCACTCTTTGGCGGATGTTCCTGCCATCTCAGTGTCCTGGCCAACATGGAATAAGAGCTATTACAGCGTTGATAAGGCAGAAAAAAGACAACAAATCATGAAGGCCTTTTCAAAACCCTCCTATTTCCGGCATCCATCACGGCGGGACAAGCAGGAACCAAACACAACATCCTAGGCAGTACCATGGATAGTACTGCTCCGGCACTCGCGCAGAGCAAAGCAGAAGCTGAACAGCATCCATGGCATTACAAGCGACGCCCAGGCTTTGAAGACGATGTTCAAATTTTTGAAACAGGTGTCATGGCCTCTGGTGGCACTTCAGCTTTGACACCACCTTTTGCGCAGTTTGCATCATTTCAATTACATAAATACGCTACACGGCACAAAGGTAGTTGGCATCTTGTTCTATCTTGATCCAAAAGTATCTCGTCCAACATGCTGCCTCTGCTAATGACGGTGTCCAGCAGGCCAAAGCTTTTTGCCTGCAAAGCAGCACACATCCCAAGGTCCCAAGTTGTAGTCAAAGCTTCAGCGCACAAAGCTGCAAGCTTTAGAGACGGCCCCAAAAGGAAGGCAGCGCCTCCTGGACAGACATATATCTGTCCCGTGCAACGGCATCGACGATATCAGCCTGAGTGAAGCCGGCTTTCCAAACTGCCCAACAGGGGACCTGACCTGCTGAACAAACTTATGACATAGCAAAGCATACTGAAAAAGGCCACGCCTAACCCAGCTAGCTGGCAGCATCTTGCCAAAAGAACATCCTCTGCTGAGATGCTCGCTTTAGGTTTGCCCGTCAGGACACTGAGGACAAACTCTAGAGTCTCCTTTGTGTGTCGAAGCTCCTCTGCCTCCAGCACCCCAACCATTTCAGTGTTGCAGCAACCCGGGATATGAAAGATTAAGAAAGTACGCGTCCAGCAATCAAATTCAGATCCTTGTTGGCAATCCACTGGAAACGTGCCTTTAAGATGACATCAGACGCTGATAGCTTCGGGTAGGAGCAACTGGGTTCCTGAGTTCTCCATAATACATGTGCACAACAATAGTGCTTGCCGGAGTCCAGAAAGTTATTGCGTCCAGTTTCGTGAATCATCAGTCTGGCATTCTCGTATGCAGACCTCAGAGACGAGAAAGGAGGGACGGGACGGGACGGGGCGGGACCGGGGCGGGACCTGACCGGACCGGACGGAGGAACGAGAGGAAAGGGGGGAGAAATTAATTCTTGTTCCCAATAGCTTCTTGCTCCTAGTAGTAAGGCACTTGTTACTAGAAGCGATGCACTTGTTCCTAGTAGCGAACATTGTTTCTAAGAGTCTTCAGTGCCATTGACTTGAGATCTCAGGAAAAGACCTATGGCCTGGAGTTCCAGCCTCAGCACACCAATGGGCCACAAAGAGAGGGTTGTTCTGTTGACACTGAAAGAAGCATGCTGAAAACACAGAGAACAACTCGTTGGAGGAGTCGGAATTAGCAATGACCCTGAATTGACAAAGAGATGCCAAGGCCCCAGCAGCTAGTAGCACAGCAGCAATTGAGAAGCAACGCCCATAGCCCACCTGAGCCACAAGTACAACAAAGTGGCAAAGATGAAACAACATCCATATCTACAAATGATGGCAGTTGTTGGCAGCAATTCGTAATTCTGATTGGGTGCAGACTGTCTTTAAGGGTGTGGAGACGTTCCTCATCACATCCAAAATGGCCAAGCCGCTGTGCACCTAGCCGCTAGCCAATTAGCTTCATTCCCTCTGCAATTGGCTTCAGTCTACCTCATCCTGTTGACTCATCAACGACCCGAACAAAACAAAACCAGGCCCTAGCGGGCGCACAAGACCACCCCCCGAGTTGATGAAGATCGTCACTGGAGCTTCTGGATCGTCCGCCTCCGGATGTGCTGGTGAAAAATTGCATGAACACTTTGAGTCTTCCAGTGCAAGCATGAACTCTCCCTCAAAGAGTGCATCCCTGATTTGTATTGGTTTCCAATCTCAGCGGCATCAGTTGCGTTATCTGCCAACGAACATGTTTGGCATTTTGGCCCAGGAGAGCCTCCAACTTCGTCACTAAGCGACCGAAGGTGGGGAAATGCATTATCAGGAAGAAGCTTGCGGATTGGCCAAGCTCTGTACATTTACGAAGCCATACTAAGTCCACACAAGATTAAAGTACGACTCGAAGCACAATGTTAGAACAGCTTCTGTGCCTGCTGATCTGATTTAGAACTCTTCTGATCGGATTTGGAGCTCCTTTGATCCGATTTAGGGCTAACACCAACGTCCTCGCAACCTTTCTGCTCACCCTCGGTGACCAATTGAAAGAATGCGGCACCATCCGCTGGCAAGGCATGACTTCGGGTTTCCGTCTGAAACACATAGCACATGCTGCCCGCATCAGGAACTAGCTGCATTCCAGGCTTGAAATGAATGACTGCGATGTCGTGGATAGGATCGCCTTTCAGATCAAAACCCATGCAATCCTGTAAGTCGATGCAAACCTTTTTTGCAGCCTCAACGCTCATCTCAGATACAAGCAAATCCGCACCATCCAAAGTATAGCCCTGGTGCCTGGTGAAGAGTGGAGATGCTCTCTCTTTCTGATATGAAATGGCGCCAGCAAGTGGAGTAAAGTTCCAAGCGGCTTTAAAGTGCCAGTCAACTGGACCATCGCTGTTAGCAGGCTCGTCCGAGTAGAAACCCACGCAATTTGGCAAACTAGTGCATCGCACTTTAGCATCTGCAAGAGTCATTGTTGCCATCAAAACATCTTCGCCTTGTAGGATCCCATCATGCACTGTGAACATTGCTTCCGGCCGAGATATCAAAGCTTCAAGCTTCCAGGGGGCGATCATTGGACTTTGTGCACCACCTTCCTCACGCCACTCGTCTCGTCCCAGAAACTCCAGGGGCAGCTGATCTGGGCTTAGGCCGTAGTCACTTTTGAAAATATCGTTGCAGAGAATGGGGCTCTCATGATCTGCAGACATTCCAGGAACGCAAACGACATTGTGGGGCTCGATGTGCAAAACACATCGCACTCTGCCCAGGCCCAAAATTGCAGACGGCATCTCCAGCAACATCATTACCAGGTCACCATAGTCATCTGCCGGGCTGTTCGCGCTGTATGCACTTGCTGCTGACAAGGCCTTGACTACGTCCACCAGCACTTCCTCACCGACACCTTCAAGCTTGTCTCGCCAAACGATTAAGAGTGACACTGCTCTCAGTGCCACGGCTGTTTCAGTTTGCGGCTGCCCGGTTGATAGGTCCAGCGCGTGTTTGATCGCCCATGCCTGGATTGCCTTTTGTCCACTGTTGCAAGGTTTTGGACAAAAAAGAGTGCCAGCTGCATGCAACACCATCCAGCTCACCAACCACCCGAGCTCATTGTTGTCATCGCTCCGTTCAACCCGCATTGAACTAACCTGATGAGACTCTGTCATGGTCAACGCTTGGGCTGTGGTGGTCACCTCGTCCAAGGCAGCACTCACTGAATACTCGGAGTTCTCAAGCGTCTCAGGAACCCTGGAGCCCAAAAGTGAGATCAAGCCGTAGATGATCAAAACAACACAGGCAACCTGAAAGCGATGACCTTCAAGGGTCTTATGTTGTTGCCAGTTCCTCTTCATGCAACCTCTGAGCTCCTGGAGGGTGGAAGAACAGAAAGGTGCTTAGAAGGCACCTTGAAGCATGCTTGCTTGAAGCAACATGATGCTAAAACTTACTCCCTCGCAAACTTAACTTAAAACAAGCATATCAAATTCAGTCAGTCATTCAGTCAGTCAGTCAGTTTCTACAATAGTTTGTAGCAACTCAAGACTCTGTCGCCCTCTCGACTATATTTCCCGGAACAAACACATAGAAACAACTTTAGTCAGTGTGGTCCTCCAGAATACTCCAAATTGTCGAGCCATCGGAGATTTGCATAGCAGCAAACAGCCGAACAGCCAAGCGGTTTACAGAAACTGATGATGCTCTGCCGCACCCAAAACACAGCTCTAAGAGGAACTTTGCTTGCAAAAGTGTGGCCAATTGCAAATGCTGCAATGGGTTGGACAGTTTCAAGTTCCTTGATTCGGCAAGAGCTTGCTGGAGCTTCTTGTAAATAACCTCTGGCAGCGGGTCATGGACAGTGCTCATCGCAGCACCAACACAGATTGCTGACTGAATTCGGGCAGAGATTGCGCAGCTGGTCTGGCGGTGCTGTATCCTCTCTCTGTTTGCTTCGCTGCCGTCACTGATGTTTGCCTCAGCTTGAAGACTTTGCGTGAGGGCATCAAGCAAACCTGCAGCCAACTCCAGCGGGTTGGTGAATAGAACATCATCGCATGAAGCACAGGGTTGACTTACACCTGTCGGGCCGCATCAAATGATTGTGTGTTTATCTTATAATTTACACATTTACACAAAATCAGAAATTTTATCGAGATGCAAGCGTTTGCAAGTGAGACATTATCAGCACGGTGGCAAAATCGTTAAATCATGGAGCATTGGAGCATCATGGAGCATGTAAATTGCTCAACCTTGCCTGGCATATCCCATACATGAAGTCGATTTCTTGGAGAGACTGTGCAAACAGCATCACCTAGCCCCCCTGCATGTCCTGCTTGTTCAGGACATGGACGCACCAAACGCTTTCGCCGGGGGCAAAGCTCCACATTGCCCATGGACTGTCAAATCATCCCATGAAAATCCTAGATTGTACCGCAAATCCAACGCAGTCACAGGACCCCTAGTTGCAGCCAGAAACATCAGTGTTGATTTAGCAAATCAATTAGACTTGTCAGACTTATCTGGCTGTATTGCACCAAGGTACGCCTCTATGAAAGGTAAACTTGTTCTGAATACTTCATGCTACATTTGAGCCCGTTTCATCTGCAAACCTTGACCTTTCTGACAATCAACACACATCTTAACATTGAGTGTTGGAACTTAGTGCGGCTTGAAGGGGCATCAAGAAAGTCTGTCCTTTACACTTTACACATAAATGCTTGGATGGTCTCAATTTGGATGTTGGTGGGACAAATCTTGTACGTATTCTTCTGCGAAGAAGCTGGGAACTTTGGCGATTTCATTGCTTGTCCAAGAGGTTTTGTGGCACACAGGAGCAGTTTGGATGTTCGGATAATCTTTTTCGTAATTTTCAGTTTCTCCTCCGCCCCGATGTTTATGTGTCTGTGACAAGCCTCGAGGAATAAAAGCTGCTGCACCAAGACCTCCCGCACGCAGTTGGCTATGAACACACACACAAAAAAATACGCACACAGGACACAAATCAAGTGAACCACTGTGCTTTGCGAAGTCTGAACCTAGCCTTTGCCGAATCGTCGTTGACCTCGCCCGTAAGGAAAAGGCGTCGAGACTTCAGCATCTCCTACCAGCGCAAAATGGAGAAACTTGCTTTTCGAACCCTAGAAAAAGCATGAAAAAGCTCGTTTCTTCGGCAGGTCGCTGAGAGCTTGAGCCAAACTCCCAGCCTGATCCACATTCACAGTCCGCTGGGGCTTCTTTGCACCTCATCATCTTTGCCCCCAAAAAGTCAAACCGAGCATGATTCGGCAAAAACGTACATGTGCCTGTCTCAGGCGCTTTTGGCTCCGATTGCTCCTCAAACTGAATTCAATCTGGGATTCCGATCTCACTGCGAAATCTGCTTTCACTAGAGTAATATAAAGTATTAATATTTTCTGCAGGTTTCAGAACTTTCAGACCTGCAAGGCCGGGCTGGCTGGCCACAACAAGGCTGCGCCTGCAGCTCCGGCCAGTACCTTTGAGGGGTTGCTGCAGGCCCTTGAGCTTGCCCAAGGTGGGTGAGTGGTGAAAAACAAGGACGCAAACAAACACATGAGATTCCTGATATCGTCTATATTTCCTAGAAAATGCTTAGATTTTCTATATATGCTATCGAATCCTTAGATTCTTTGAGCCCTTCGCAATCGAAGGTTGTCGTCTACTTGTCTCCTTCACGTCCTCACGACTACCAGATTCACATCAGTGTAGTCCTCCCTTGAGCCCGCGGCCGGAGCAATCCTCCTCAGCTGAGCACCTGTCTCGTTAAAGCTCGAACAATGTAAGCTTAAAACTTAAAAATTGAAAAGTCATAAGTAAAGTGACTTGGAACATGAAGAACATGAAAGTGTTTTCTATAAAGGCACAATGAACATGCACCTGAACGGTCAAAAGCTTCAGTGCTCCAGCCTGAGCCAAGTCGAAAGGCACCGCAACCTGCATGTCCAACGGCAGGAGCCTGGAAAGTGCCAAAAAGAAACAGCAAAAACAAACAAAACAAAAACACTAAAACAAATTGTTTAAGTCTTTTGCTCTTGCTCCATCTTGCTTGAGTGAAGCACTCGTCCCAAGACATGCAGCCATTGTGTTGGCATACCTCGAAAGGTACTATTCTGTTTCTGCGTGTTTGATACCATATTTATCAGTTTGTACAAATTAAGGGGTGCCCCCTGAACACGGGAAAGGCATAGATAGAAGAACTCCGCACACCACCAAGCTCCCATTAGCATTAAGCCTCACAGGGAAATGGGATTTGTCGTACTCTATTGAAACATGACCATGCATTCCGAACGTGCCATCTACACTTGACAGTGCTTTGGCATGTGGTTCCATACAGCATTTGAGCCACTGGCTGCAGAGACGTCATGGTATGCATGGCCGGCCCGGCACTAAACTGGTCAACTGAGCTGCACGGCGGTCCTTGAGGAGCAGTCTTAAGCACTCTTGTGCAGCTTGTGCACAGTTTCCTTTTGATCCTTTTGCACGGTTTTCGCGCAAAGTGGTAGCTTTGACCATATTACATTGCACAAGCCAGGAGGCACGCAAAAGGCATGACCCACGCTGCCTTGGCGATCCTGACAATTTGTGCAAAACAAAGACGGGTTCCGAAAGCCAGGTAAGCAGTGTTCAAATTCCAAAACCATTAAACTATGTATATATATATATATATCAACTGGGAACACACATCCAAGAATCACCATGTTCTACAAAGTAGCAATATCAATTGCACGGACACAGACGCCAAATAGCATGATCAAACGCGTCAACGCGATGAACCCACCAAAGCGGCAAAGCAACTTGGGAATGAAAGGTGAGCGAGCCGACCTCACCGACTGCAGCGTGACCATACAATGGTGAACTCTGCAGGCAGCGAGGTGGCCGCAGAGCACTGAAAACTGATGATGTGCAGCAACTACAATGAGACAACACAGCTGGCAGAGTCAACAAATAGAAGAGGCCGTGGGAGGCAGCAGTGATCAAAGGAGGGCATCAAAAACAAAATATTCGACGGTGATCAAAAAGAATCAGAAAAGAAGGGATCAACAAAAATATTCCCAGTGAGCAATGAAAGGGAAAGGAAACTAGGGGAAAAAAAACAACAACAGCAGGGCGGGCGACCAGAGGACCATGAAAGGATAATTGCAACAAATAATCTCTTGTGCGAGGGTGTGCAATACCTGCTGTGTGGATATGCGATGGGGTGACCCTTAGAAAATCGGTCGTGGCAGCCCAGTGCATTGACCAAAGTAGTGCAGATTTCGTGGCGGCGAAGCGGAGTTGCAAACTACAAAAGCCACCAGACGCTGAAGGCACCACAACATACACCGTATTACCCTATCAATGAGAGGCCCGTCCACCACAGTGAAAGGATGCTTGCAACCGCGTGCAGCACCAAACCAAACATCAAAAGGCACCACAAAATAGATCACCATCGAAAACTACACACCCGATTGCCTCATCAATGATGGGCACTCAGAAAGTGACGCAAGGACCAAGGACCACGAGGCCAGCGGACCAGGGCAACAGAATAACAGAAAGGACCAGCAAGCCAAATGAAAGGACCACAGGACCAAAGAAGCAGGGGACCAAAGGACCAAGGGACCAAAGCACCAGGGGACCAATGGACCCAGGGACCTTTCCTTTGAGTGGACCAAAGAACCAGTCCAGGAGACCGAAGGACCAGGGGACCAGCGGACCAGGAGACCAAGGGCCTAGGGGCCACTAGACTCGAAGACTTGATTTTTGTTGATCCTTTACTTTTTCTTGTTGATCCTATTATGTGTTTCTTTTGATCCTTTACATTCTTATTTGTTGGTCCAAATGCCATCAAAGGAGGCTCTATGAAAGAAGCCCAAGTCCACTTCAAGTCCACCTTTTTCCCTTCACTTACACTTCTACTTCTACTACTACTACTACTACTACTACTACTACTTCTATTACTACTTCTTCTTCTACTACTACTTCTTCTACTACTACTTCTTTTTCGTCGTCGTCTTCTTCTTCTACATACGTCTTCTTATTGTGTTTGTTTGATTATTATGTTTCTTGTTCTTCTTCTTCTATATACTACTACTACTACTACTACTACCACGACGACTACTACTACTACTTCTTCTTCTTTTGCTTCTTCTCCTTCTCCTTCTCCTCCTTCTCCTACTTCTTCTTCTTCTTCTTCCACTTCTACGTCTTCTTCTTCTTCTTTGTCTACTTTTTCTCCTCCTTCTCCTCCTCCTCCTTCTTCTTCTTCTTTGTCTTCCACTTCTACTTCTACTTCTCCTTCTTCTTCCTCTTCTTTCAAATCCTTTATTTTATGTTTGTTTACCTTTATCTTTCACTGCGTATTCTTTCTTCGTTGACTCCTCTGGGTAGACCCTGAAGATCGGATACTGGAGGATACCAAAGGTCTTAAATAGTAGCAAGAGTAGCGAGTAGTATGCAAGTAGTATGCTGCAAGTAGCAAGAGACGTAGCTTGCAAGATGCTGCAACTTACGTGGCTTTTGTCGAAAGTTGTTCTTCACTTTGCCGCGAAAGCACATTTAAGGTTTCGGTGCATATGTGTAGTGCTTTCAGATGCGGAGCTCGGAGGAAGAAGCTTTCTTGAAGAACCCTTCATATCATTCATATCGTCGAAAAATTGTCCAAATTTTTAGACATCTCTTCCGTCCTTCCTTTCTCTCTTGCTTTCTTTACCAAGATCGGGCTCTAGAAAAGCAAGAATTGCTGCTATCTGGGCCCCCAAAATGATGGCTGCCTGCTGTGAAGGTCTTCCTCACATTGCACAACTGCAGCACCTGGTCGGAGTTTCTGGCAATGATGCATAAGATGCTTCCCAAAGGCGCATGCAGGTCATGATAGGTCATGCACACATTGCTCAAAAGAGTCAGACCAATCCATGGCACAGCTCCACATGGTTTCGATGCATCTTCTTGCATAAACAGAATTTAGCAAATGGAATGGAAGAGAAAGAAATAGTATTTTATCCTTGGCGGCAAATATCAAGATCATCTGCCATTATCATCACTTTAGAAGCAAGAACCTACACAGTACATATTTGAGTCCTGAGTCATGCATGAGCTCAAAAGAAGCGAGAGAGAGCAACTTTCATCAACAGGCACGGCCCAGCCTCTTTGCTTGTCACATCTTTTAACAAGCCATGTTGAGTAGCATCAAGGAATCAGCGTATGCAACATCACACCGCCAGTACCTGGCTGCAAACAGATTCTCACCACATGGTTACCGAGTTACTGAATGTTTGACATCAGTCAGTCCTAAATTCACAAGGGTGGGCACCACAGCTTGCCATTGCTGACACGAGCAACAAATTGAAGATCAGGCCTTGGGAATTGCAAAATTGTTGCAACTTGAAAAAACATGAGCGACCAGGCATCAGGCGCCCAAAGAGACCAAGAAGTGCCCAAGCATTGAGATGGACACGCCTGTCCACTGATGTGCTTGGGCATGAGTTTGCACATGGGCATGCTAATTTACATGCCTCATCTGCTCCAACAGGGAAGTTGATCAAATTGTGAAACTGAGATCTACCTCAGCGATCGGTTCATTGGATCTTTGCTTGGGCACCAAAGGTCGGTTGGGCCTGACCCCAAATAATTGCAATCCATTTCCGCCCACCCATCTATCTAGCGTGACAATCTTCGAAGATGGGAAACGTTTTTTGTTGCCCAGGGGGAGGGTAGGACGAGAAGAGGTAGGGTAGCTCACGCTCGCACTAATCATTTGGTTCCTAGACTCCTAGATGTTTAGGGAAACTTTTAAAACAATCGTCCCAATGGTGTCAATGGGCACCACCCCACGCTTCTCCATCCCAATGAATTCATTCCGACCTGAGACTTGAATCTGATTATGTTTGATGAATTTATACTATTTTGGGCAAAACGACTCTGTTTGGTGATCAAGGCGATGGCCAACAAAACGACACAGTTCCGCGAAGTGAATGCAAGCGGTGCAACTTGAAAGCAGCAGAAAACCCACCTACGTTTCAAACATGTTCTATTGGGGCGCTTGATGATGCTTGATGTTGAGTTACTCAGAACTGCCATTTGTTGCCATGTCAGTTTTGTGCATTGCCTGGCTTCACCGCGATTATATTCGTTCAAGGGCCAACAATTTAAGTTTGAAGCAGTTCTTGATACTTGATCCGCAGCGGCCACATACTTGCCCAATGTCTTTGGATAACTTCCTTTTTCCTGGGACTTCTGTGCCAGACCTTGGAAAACCTCCAGGTACTGAGTACCTGGCCGCTGAACATGTTTCTTGCTCAACTTGTCATCTGACCCGTGGATTCGTGGAAAGGGGCTGCATCACTTTCTGCTTTGTTCACGTCGAATCATGGTGCCAAATGTCGAAGGAAACACACTGTGGACTCCTCACCTTGAAGAAAGTAATTACAAGCATTGGATACCCCGAACCACGACACGTTTTTGTTTCGGCCTTTCGTCTCTCACATAAACCTTTCTAAACTGCCAGAAGCGAGGGGTATCTAGGAGTCATGCTCTCAGAGGGACCCAAAGAGTCCAGCCCATCTATGCGACCTCGAGTGCAAATGCTTACTTAGCTCTCAACGCAGCATCTTTAAGGCGTTGGCTGGTAGTCCAAAGTCTCAAGTCGGCATCATCCTGACGGAGAATAGGTAGCATTTCTATTATACGTCGCGTTCTACGTGTATGTATATATATATATGTTTTTATTGCTGTATATTTATAGTTATTTATATATATGCCTTTGTTGCTTCCCACCCAGCAAAGCAAGATTCTGAGCTCACCTCCAGCAAGTAGATGCGTGGGGCCATGTCCAAACGTAGGTCTGGTCTATCCTCACCGATTCCGAACTTGCAAAGCAAAATACGCCATGCAGCCCATGCATTCCATTTGCCTCCAGCGCACCCCGCGCGATGACCATGGACCTTTGTCGCATGTGTGTGTGTGTTCGCGTGGACATTCCCACGGTTCAACGTCTCGTCGCAACGAAACCAAAAATAGATGAAAACAACGTACAAATCCTTCCCTCAGAAATCTTGAGTTTCCAACCACACACCACAGCCCCATGCAAGATGGTCTGATGGAAGTAACACCTGGAGGGATCATCACAACCGACCGTGTCATGTTGAACCTGTACCAACATGAAAGTCCAACGGATCTGAGGCACCCACTGCCATGGGAGGTGCTGCCCAGTCTTCAACTCTCAAAAGCCTTGCTTGCCATTTTGCTGCTTGCCATTACGGTTTTAGAATCTTCACGCTGCAGTTCCATGAATATATATATATATATGTTGAAGGCTAGCATGAATGCCTCCACTCGTATGCCTTTCGTACCGCAGGGACCGCATTTGGCTGAGGAAAATGCCACGCGTGCCCGTGGGTGTCGATAGGACTCGACTCGGGTTGTTTTGTGATTGGTAGCGGAGCCCCGGAAAGCCGGGGCTCCGGGTAGGTAGGATCCTGCTCGGTTTAGCATGAATGCCATGAGTTCCACTGAGTCCACTGGCCTGCGAACCTTTTCTGGTGAGTCTGAAGATGCCAAGGAATACAAACGCTGGCGTACTTGGATCACCAACAAGATCCTTACACTGGGAGACAAAGTTCCTGACAGCGCCACAGGCGCCTATGTTTACACCCTGCTGGCTGGGAAGGCCCTGGAGTGTGTTGAACATTTGGAGCCCTCCACGTATCAGAAGACTGGAGGGGAAAAGGTGATCTTCGAGTTACTGGATCAGAGGTTTCCGCAAAAGGATCAGTCGGACGAGATGTCTGAGGTCCTGACTGAAGTGTTCCAGCTTCGAGCTCATGACGGAGAGACATTGAAGGCTTGGGTATCCCGAGCCACTGAAGTGTTCGATCGAGTTCATCGCAAGGTCAATGTTTCTTTCCCCGAGGAAGCTCGTGGCTGGTTGATTTTACACCGCGCTGGTTTGACGGAAGAGCAAAAAGCTGTGGTACTGTCCCGCTCCTTGGGTGTGCTGAAGCGAGAGGAGATCGGGAGAGCAATGCGTTCCTGCTATCCGGAACTGGTTGTGGGAAAAAGAAGCCCATGTCAGCCGCAGCCATTGTTGAAGAAGAACCCCCTGATGTCGATGAAGCTGATTCGACCATCGCCGAGATGGAGCTGTTCCTGGCTGAGCATCAGCTGGAGACAGCTGTGGACCCTGAAGAAATCTTCGATGAGCGAGATGTCGCTGAGGCCCTGGCAGTTTCGTGGAAAGAACGACGTAAGGAGATGGTCAATCTTCGACGTGCCCGCAAATTCACTCAAGCTGGTGATACAAAGCGCAGCTTCAAGGTTGAGATTGAAGAAATGAAGCGTCGTACAAGATGCAATCGTTGTGGGCAGGTTGGCCATTGGGCGAGAGAATGTTCCAAGCCTAAAGGTCAAGGCAAGGGTACCAAGACCTCCTCCTCTTCTGCTGGTCGAACCTCTGAAAGTGGAGCCGCTCTGGTCGAAGATTTTGTGGCAATGGTCTCTCCACATTGTGAGACTTGCCGCTCGCTGGAGTTCCTGCGGAATAGAAAGGAAGGTAAGACAGTAACATCTGAACCTGTCTCTTCCTCTACATTGAGCATTGAGCAGTTGTTGGTCAGTTCACCGGGTTTCGGTGTGTTGGACAGTGGGCGTGGCCGATCGATTATTGGTGCCTCTACGCTTCGTGAGTTCGAGGCACTTTGGAGTGATCGTGGTTGGACAATTCCTAGTCCTGTACCTGAAGTGAACCACTTCAAATTTGGAAACGGCCAGAAGGAAAGCACCTCACAGTCCATCAGTGTGCCGGTTTTGCTTGGTGGACGTTCGGGTACCATCAAAGCTGCTATCGTGCAAGGGAATGCACCACTGCTCATTTCTCGCAACGCTCTCAAGACATTGAGAGCAGTGATCGACTTCGCAGCCAGTGAACTCACCTTGTTTGATGAGCGGATCACGGTTCCGCTGTGCACCAACCAGGCTGGTCAATTTACGGTTGACCTGATGGGTCAGCCCGATGTCAGTCTGAAGCCATTTGCTGAGGCGATGCATCTCGAACCGACTAATGCACCTCAAGACACTGCCGATCCCGCTAGTGAAGATGTCCCTGCGGAAAGCCATGTGTCCAATCCTGATGCCACCACCGCAGATTTGCAGGCTCGACGGACCTGATATCCTGGAGTCGTACTGATAGCTATATCAAACAGGTTCCATCCGTAGGTAAACAAGGTCCTGTGTGGCAGTCCGTCCGACGTCGAATCGTGACTGATTTGGACACCAATGCCGTCTTGTTTGATGATTGCATGCAGCCTCAACTAGGTAAGTCTCACTATGTTCGCATGTTGCCCAGTCATGTCATGCATGTTCGAACCGAATTCTTCTTCGTGCCTCAGGAGATGAATACGACCATAGAGACTTTGCCTGTTCATCATCTCAGGCAACTCGAACGTCAGGTGCGGGATGTCACACCTGTAAGGGCTGGTTGTTCGAAGCTGGAAGGAAAAACCTTTTTGGTCGCCGAAGTGTTCTCACCATGCAGGTTTGCCTCTCACGTGGAATCCATGAATTTTTCCACTCGGTCATATGACCTGAAGACGGGGTTCGATTTCCGCCTCAAGACGGATCGAGAAGCAGTAGCCCAAGAATTGAAACAACATCCACCTGAGCTGTTGATTTTGTGTCCACCCTGCACGGATGAAGGAGGATGGTTCAATCTCAATGCAGCGTACCTGGGCCCCAGAGAACTGACTCGTCGAATCGCTCAAAGCAGATTGTACATTCGTTTCTCTGCGCAGCTCTTTGAACAACAGTTGAAGGCAGGTAAACAGGCCCTTCTTGAGCATCCGCACGGTTCCAGGCTGTGGAACTACCCCGAAGTGAGAGAGCTGATTCAGCGCTGTCACATTTTGAAGTGTCATATGCGCCGATTCGGCCTTCGACTTCCGGGTTCTGACAAGCTGATTCGTAAGGCAACACGTTTGTTAGTCAGTCATGAATCCATGTCATGCTTGGCTAAGACCTGTCCAGGTAGACAACACACTCGTCACCAATGTCATCAACCCATTGCCGGTTCAGCCCCAGGAATAGGTTCTGTCAGCACCTTTGCCGGTCAGTATACTCCACAGTTCGTTCAAGCTGTTCTGAACACCGTTCCCCGGTACGTCCAAGAGTCAGCCATTGGTTTAGTCAATTGTGAACCGGAGCCGATGCCCGAAGAGGTGCTTATGGCTAAGGCTGATTTAGACAATCCACAGGCCACAGATGAGCAACTCTTGCAAGTGTTGGATCGTTTGCATCACAACCTGGGCCATCCGCCTAGTCATGACCTTGTCCGGGTTCTCAAACATGCCCATGCCAGTGATCGATCCATTGCTTTGGCCCGCAAGTATGAATGTGACCTGTGTAAGGCACATATCCGACCTCATGTGCCCTTGCCAGCCAAGAGCAGTCGTGTGTGTGAATTCAATCACACGATCGGTCTAGATGTGAAATTCCTGCCTGGATGGAAGGCCAACCAGAAGATCAAGGCATTGAACGTTGTGTGCCATGGTAGCTGCTATCAAATGATGTTGCCCTTCCACGAAACCGAAACCTCTGCCCTGATCCGCAGGTTGTTCGCCGAAAACTGGATTCGAACCTTTGGACCTCCACAGGTGATTCTGGTTGATCAAGCTCGTACCAATATGGGGGAAGCTCTTCAAGATTATTTAGATTTGCAAGGTACCGAGGTGAAGCAAATTCCAGGTGAAGCACATTGGCAACTGGGAAGGACAGAAAATCATGGGGGTTGGTTTGCTCGTATCCTTACTAAAGTGATCAGTGAACATTGTCCCGAAGATAAGAAGCAATGGGAGGAATGTGTCATTCACTCACATGTAAAGAACAGCATGATCCAATATTATGGGCATACCCCTCACCAGCATGTTTTTGGCAGAAATCCTCGAGTGCCCTCTGATCTACTGGATGAACCTTTGAGTGTTGTGCCTGCCACTGCTGGTTTGTCAGACGAGCAAGCAGCCAAAGCGCAAGCAATTCGGACCACAGCCCGTCAGGCCGTGATTGAAATGCAAGACAGTCAGTCCTTGCGCCGTGCTTTAGCTGCCCGCCCGCGGACTGATCGCAAGTTCGCTCCAGGCTGTCTGGCGGCCTATTGGCGAAATCAGAAGTTCCAAGCTGGTGAAGGTGTAGTCACTGGAGGTCGCTGGTTTGGTGTAGCGGTGGTCATCGGGGCCATTGGCCGAAACTATGTTGTCGCTCACAGACGACAAATCTTTCGTGTTGCGCCCGAACAACTAAGACTTGCCACTTCCGAAGAATCCGCTACCGTGGAGACCCCTGAAGCCGAATTGCTGGGTATCCAAGATTTGATTGAGGGTGGTACCTTTCGTAGCAAGAACTTCATTGATTTGGTGCCTGCACATTATCCTCCCAATCAGCCAGTGGGAGATCGTCAACCAGGTGAGATGTCTCTAGAGCATGAACTGAAATTCCTCAGATTGCACCAGAGCCACAACCAGTCCCGTAGAGCCCGAGGCAAAGCCTTCAGCGACTGATGAGCCTTCACAGGATGTGTCCATGCCAGGGCAGTCTCATTCCCCAGAAACTTCTAATGAGTCAACTGATAGACCTGATAAATCATGGATCATGCCAGACAATGCCTATGGACCTGTGAGAACTCGCCATCGCTTGTCCTCCAAGAGTGAACCATCCACTCTGTATCGGCCACCTTCGATGAGACAGGAAGACTTTGTGGAGATCATGCGAGAGATTGTACCACAGCTCATTGAACAGAACATCCAATCCACAACCTCCTCTCAAGCTGAAAATGTCTCATCTGAACCAAGTAGTGCCAGCGGCGTCAAGCGGTCGATTGATCCAACCACAGAAGAAACTCAAGAGCCACCGACCTCGAAACCCAGAGTTGAAGAGCATCTTCTTGTGGATTCCCATTCATGTGACGAAGTCTTGTCTGTACAGGATTGTCAACAGTTGGGAGCCCTATGGGACCACACTCAAAATATAGAAGTGCTAGTTGCTGCGTTCCTCCAAAAGAGAGCATCCAAGGAAATCCCTGCTAGTGGAAATGAACCCCGACTCCAAGAATTGGTTGATGCCTCCAAACTTGTAGAATGGAACACCATGCTTGAAAAGAATGCCATCAAAGTACATACCGGTCAACATGCCGCATGGTTGAAGAAACAACGCCCCGACAGATTTATGGGTAGTCGATTTGTGATCGTTCGCAAACCTCTGGAAGAGAATTTGCATTTGGGCATCCATGACCCGAGCACGTTTCGTGTCAAGAGCAGGTGGTGCTTGCAAGGTCACTTGGACCCCGATCTCGACCAAAAACTGGGGGAGGGTTTGCTTCAGAGTCCCACGCTAAGTCAAATAGGACGGATGATCCTCATGCAATTGGTCACCTCCCATCAGTGGGATTTGCAGTTGGTGGATATAAAGGGAGCGTTCTTAGAGGCAGGAGAACGCTTTCGTCCTCTCTTCGCACACCTTCCGGCTGGGGGTATTCCTTCTGTTCCCGAAGACGTTCTGGAAGTGGTTGGAAACGTATACGGACAGAATGACGCTCCAGCTGCATGGCACAAAGCTTTCGACACAGCAGCGTGTGAGTTTGGTTGGGAAAGATCGTTGTTTGATGCCTGCCTGTATTTTCTTAGAGATGATAGCGGTCGTCTTTGCGGCGTCATGGGTGTCCACGTGGACGATACTGCTCTGGGAAGATTCGAAAAAACAGTGAAAGATCTTCGAACAAGGTTCCCATACAGGAAATGGCGGATACAATCGGGAGAATTCTGTGGAGCCTTCTATTCTCAAGACCCCAAAACCAAAGAAATATCGATGTCACAACAGACTTTCGCCGAAAGCATTCGTCCAGCACATATTGCTAAGGGAACTGACAATGAACAACCTCTCCTGGATTCCCAGATCCGTGTTCTAAGGGCCATCAATGGAAGTCTGAATTGGATTTCTAGCCAGTCTCGACCAGATGTTGCTGTACAGACCAGTTTGAGCCAACAAGTGTTTCCCAATCCTAAGATCAAACATCTTCGAGATGTGAACAATGCGGTTCGTCGTACCAAACAACGCAAAGATGTGAGAATACAGTTCAAAGCTATTCAACCGAATCGACTTCGTTTGTGTTGTCACTCGGACGCCGCTTTCGCAAACGTTGGAACTCACACTCAAGCTGGCTATATTGCGGCTTTCGTTGACCAAGGGTTGGATGTAGGAGAAATCAGTCCATGGACACCCTCGACGTGGAAAAGCTACAAGCTGCCTCGCGCGGTGTCATCAACCTTAGCCGGAGAAAGTCAGGCCCTTGCAACCGCCTCAGGCACGGTCGAATGGGCTAGTCTGATTTTGAGCGAAGCCTTAGATGGCAAGTTCGAGCCAAGACTCAGCCGTCAGAGACTATGTGCAAGACCTCCAATACTCACCACCGATTGATTGTAAGTCCTTATATGATCATTTGACCTCACCGTCTTCTCCCACAGCTGTGGATGATCGACGAACAAGCATCGATATTGTAATCATTAGGGAATCCATCAAGGCCACCAAAGCATCAATACGTTGGCTCCCTACCAATCGTATGTTGGCAGATGCTCTCACCAAAGACAAGATGGATCCAGTTGATCTCCTCAGATCCTGCCTACGCAGTGCCACATATCAAATTTCACCCGAAGAACATGTCCTGGCTCAGCAAGCTGCCGAAAGAGAGCTTCGGATGCAGAGACGCAGCCTTTCCACCAAGGCGAAAACACATCCCCATGAGCCGCTGGACACCGGCGATAATTAAGATAGTTGCAGATTCTCAAAAGGGAGTAACAGTCTTGTTGTAATGTCTAACTGACAATCAGTGAGGGATACATTCAATAGCCGCTGTTCGTGAGAAAATACTGCAAGCCCTTTTTGTGCATGATGTAAGGTGTTAATGCATGCGTCGCCTGCAGCCTCTTTTGATTTTCGAAGGCCATCTCACTTAGGCGCTGTGAAGCGCGTTTAGATGACTTGGACACCACAGGATGCCGAACAACTCCGAGCCTTGTACCAAAAGGCTTTGCGCCATGGTCTCGAGCCTGTTGAGGCCCTCGGTGGATTTCCACACGTGGATGATTTCGAAGTGGTCGGAGCCATGTCCGATGCTACGAAGCGTCAATTGGACGCACAGTTCCCGATCAGCAGCAAGGCAAATCGAAAGCAGGGCTCTTCCTCCGAAGGAGTTGATTCCAAGATCTCTGACGGAGGATATGCTGTGAAGTCGTTGGAACCTCCTTTTCCCACCACGGATCCTGCCTTGACCGCTGTGGGTTCGCCTGAGCTCCCTCCTGGTGTGATCAACACTGCCCAGTGGGGAAAGACCCAGATCAATTTTGGCAAGTTCAAGTCCCGCAATTGGTCGTACATGGACCTGCTGCAATCAAATGAAGAAGATGCCAAGAGCTACGTGAAGTGGTGTCGAGCTCGCACCAACTCGGCCGGCGGTGAGCTGAAAGATTTGTGCCTTTTCCTCTATCGCTTTGAGTTGGAAGCCTCTCATGGCAAGCTGCGCACTGGAGAGTTGATCCCTGGCTCCGGATCTCGCCGAGTCTTCAAGTGAGGCCAGAAGCCTTCGAAGGAGCATACGATTGGAACATGCTGGAAGCCCAATACTTCAGAAAGCTTTAAGATATAGAGAATATAAGGAGTGTTGAAGGCTAGCGTGAATGCCTCCACTCGTATGCCTTTCGTACCGCAGGGACCGCATTTGGCTGAGGAAAATGCCACGCGTGCCCGTGGGTGTCGATAGGACTCGACTCGGGTTGTTTTGTGATATATATATATATGTATAATTCACTTAGACACTCGCCAAGCACCAGTGTCTGCATAGTCTGCTGGATACTCCGGGTAGTCCAGCAGTTCATCTCCGAAATCCTTTCAGAAAATAGAGTGACAAAAGAAGCTTGCCTAGACCCGCAAAAAACTTGCCTTGACCAAAAGAATGTACCTGTCGTACCTGCGAGCTGTAGGGCTGGTGTGTTCGCCCCACTTGACCTATGTCACTTACAGAATATATCCTTTTGACTACGAGTTGCGAGGCCTATACACTGAAAACATAGCTTCGCAGCTGCCTTCGCAAGCCTACGCGACACGCCGTTCTGTATTGAAGGGCGCCTTAGTGGCGCGTTAACAGGGATCATATGGTACGTACTTTCGCGAAACGGTTTCGAAAAAACAATTGGGACGCGCAAATCCGATGCAATTCTTAGGCAATTTTTGCCCTCCGGAGTTGCCCTTGCGAAGAATCATTGTGAAGCCTACACAAACTGCGAGAATTGCCTTCCTGGGCCCATAGGCATTGCCACTTTCAGACCATTAAAAAAAATGTCCTTGTGTATATGCTTGCTCGCAGAACGCAGGCACCGGCGGCTTCTGCTGTTGGCTCCGAATTCCAGAACTGACTACACTGCCCTTCCCTGGTAATCTGTTTGCAGCATCACTTGTCTTTGTTGGGCAGGCAAGGAGTTCGGAGTGCTTTAGAAAGGAAAACCGGGAAGTGCTAGGCGCATACTCTTTGAATGGGTTTGTCATTTCAGTCCACCAGGGTGTATAAAAAATCAATTTGGCAGTGTGAGGGATGAGTCAGCAGCACCACACACACTCTTAAGATCTCTTAAGATGGAATATGTACGGGCTGAGTGCCACATGCGCTGAAGATGCCTAAGCAACCATAAGGCCTAAGTTCAACCAAAAGTTCCAAGTTGGCAGAGTAGCAAGTGTCCAAAGTTCCAGAGTCATGCCTGTAGAGCGTGTTAGCCCTGCACCAAAGAACAGAAGCAAAGGCCAGCAGCTTGTTCTAGTTACCACGAGAAACTAGAACACAGCAGGTCCGTGACTTTGGCATCCCAAAGGTCATATCACGACACGATGGAAAGGTCTTCGTTGGGCAATGCTTTCCCAAGTATCCATTGCCCCCTGCTGCTTGTCAAATCGAAAAGGATTCTAAAGACAACCTATGAATCCAAGGCTATTTCAAAGCCCGAACACGTCCATGTTTGCCCAGGGTAGGCGCCCCTCGTTGAGGAATCGATCCATCAAGTTCAATTGCCCAGAATCTGGCAAATGCTGACATCCTTCATATACGTTGATCTAAATTCTTTCATCCGGGATCCGTCGTTCTTAGCCAAAAACATTTTAGACGTTAGACAAACGCTCGCCTTCCTGCGTTTTATCTTTCGCCGAAATATGTTGTATATATGTTTGCCATGTATGTTGTTTGACGGATATCATTTTTGGTTCATGTCAATGGTTTCTTCTGTACTGGCAAATACGAAATATAAACTTCACTGTTTATCAGCATGTGTCTTCTACTTAACTGTGACACCCTGTACGTCTCTTTTTCGTTTCTCCAGGGTGTCTGCAAGAACCAAAAAATGCAAGAATCACTGTGGCAGCCGGTCGCTCAGACTTACTCATAATGGGCTGAGGGTCAGATGTGGCAGGGTGAACTTTCGCCAACCTTGAGCTGAAGACTCGCCAAATTTTTCCTTTTGCGGGGTAGAGGTCGTCGTGGTAGTAGTAGTAGTAGTAGTAGTAGAGGTCACAGTAGAGGTAGTAGGAAAGGTAGTAGAAGAGGTAGTAGTAGAGGTAGTATAGTAGTAGTCGTAGTCGTAGTCGTATAGTCATAGTCATAGTCATAGTCGTAGTCGTAGTCGTAGTCGTAGTCGTCGTAGTAGTAGTCGTCGTCGTCGTCGTAGTCGTAGTTGTAGTAGTATGTAGTAGCAGCAGCAGGAGGAGCAGTAGTAGTAGCAGTAGCAGCAGCAGTAGTAGTAGCAGCAGCAGCAGCAGTATAATAGCAGCAGAAAGAACATTTATAGCCATATCTTTCGCATTCTTTCGCCAAAAAATACTTTCGCCAACTTGTGCAAAACTTTCGCCAAATGAGATTTTGACATGTTCCAGGGTCATCGTCATCAACAATCCCTATTAGGGCCTTTAGATCGACAACCGTATATTGTTGGACAGTGGCTCTCAAACACATGACATGATGAAAAAGTCGGGACATAATACTGCAACTCACTCGACTGTTTACAGTTTGACTGCCAGTGTCCTGTCGGTGTCGCTCACCGTAAGTGACCGCTTTGCCGCGCCTCTGCACCGTGAGCTTGGCCGTAACGCAGGGCAAGTGGTGTATTACTTCCTTTCCAAGATGGCACACACAGAGCGAGAGAGAGAGAGAGAGAGAGAGAGAGAGAGAAAGAGAAAGAGTCGGTCAGTCAGTCAGTCAGTCCGTCCGTCTGTCCGTCTGTCAGTCAGTGCGCCCGCCCGCCAGCCAGCCAGCCAGTCAGTCAGTCACTCAACAAACGCAAAGAATGAATGATTCAAAGAATTGCAACACTGCCAGCGCCTCACCGTTGCAACCGAGAAAGTACAGCGCTGTATGGGTATCCTTTCTTGGCTCATGACACTCCCACTATTCACTTTGTGAATCTTTGTGAGCACGTGTCAAAATCGCAAGCAAATGCAAATGTATGTCCTTGTCAGGCTCTCGCTGGAATCCATCTCTTGAGACCTGATTCATGCTGAAAGAATCCCCACGCTACCTGCGTTAAACCTTGTGTTTCAGTCCTTATCGTTCCAACAATGTCCAGTCAGTTTTACAACTGCTTGTTGTCGTACAGTATGTGGGCGATGGTATCTCCTTCCGTGTTCATTACCCTTTGCTTCACAAAACCAAAACTGCTTGGATGTACGTTGTGAGAACCACGCTCTACAAGTGCTTTTGTTGTGGCTTCGCCAGGCAAATGCGACTTCGCCAGGCTTTGCCACCCTACTCCCAACTCGGCCTTGCAAACTATCAAAGCTTGGCACGGCCAAGTGGGGCATTATGGTAGATTGTGGGGGAATGGTCTGGCCTGGAGACATTTTGGTGAAATTTTTTTGTCGTTTCGGTATGGCAACTATACTCCAATTACTGACGCGCGCTCGACGAAACGCGCTTGTTTCCTGCAACTCGAGCCTAGTGTTAGGCGGTAGTGTTCAGTATATGTGCAAGGAGAGTGTCCACTTTACACCCTGCCTTTCAAGGCCATTCTTTGGAAAAGTAGCCTTTGAACTACTTTCGGTGTTCACCGTATGGTGCACCTACTCAGTTCTCTGGCTCTGGTTCTTCAATTCCCTCTTCTGGCCTGTCGGCCAAATCTTCTTCCGCTCTTTGTGGCATGTCTTCATCGTCTTCACTCCTGTTTTCTTCTGGCGATCCATCGCCTTCGCGCTCATCTGGTGTTAGCGGTGGTCCATAGTGAGCCGCTACCCATCCATCTGGGTATTCACTTTCTCCCAGTGGGACGTCCATCGATTCATCTCCCCTTCGAACGTGGAAGGTGTACTGCCTCAGGCTCAGAATCTCAGGTGATCTATCACCATCTTCCTCCCTTCTGGACCACGGACTGATGATCCTCTCAAGATTCTTGAAGGTCCTCACGCCTTCAGGTAAGTCTTCATCTCCAGGGTTCTCTTCGATCATGTCTTTGAACTCTCTGATCTTCATGGTCAGATACACCTCGATGCCTCTGTCGATTTCAATCATCTCCATTCTGTACCTTTGGTACTCTTCTCCTTCAAGTCTGATGTACTCATCTTCGCTGTCTGCCTCCAAGTGCTCAGCCAGGCTTCCATAGTCGGCGTTCTCGCTTTCGCTTCCTTCATCTTCATCTTCTTCACTTGGAGATGTGTCTTCCTCCAATCTCACCATTCTCACACGCACCTCAGTCTCATGGATGTATCCATCATCGTCTGTATAGGTGCTTCTTCTGGCGCTTCTTCTTACCTCTCCATCTTGCTCTTCTGCCTCCTCTTCGATCTCAGAGCAAAGTTCCAACCGCTGACCGGTAGGTTGTCCTTCTTTCATCGCTCTCCTTCCTCTCTGCTCCATCGACCTCCACTGTTCCTGGTGTCTTTGACCTTTTCAGAGGGCTCATCAACTTGACCAAGTTGTGGGCGTACTTCTCGTTCACCATGATCTTTGTCGTCGATGCATCCACATTGGTGGTCCTCTTGAGGAAACTCAAATTCTCACCCTCTTCGATCGACACCTTGTACCTCTTCATCAGGCGGTCTGTGATCTTGGCAAATGCTTCATCGGTTCCACCGATGATCATGTAGATGGACCAGCAAGATCAACTGTTCTCCTCTCCACAACGGCACAAGCACGGTCACTCAGACAGTCCACGATTCTGCTAGCACAGCCCAGGCTTCGACCTCAGCAACTTCGACAACAGTGATCCTGGACGATGAAGAGGATGAGTTCGCTGAGAGCTCAGTGAGGATGGTGAAGGCAGAGGCATACGACCTCACATACAGTGATGAGGATGAGGGTCGCCCTTGGAAGCGAAGATGCAGGAGGCAATGCCCGCTTTGTGAGCTTCGAGGCTTCGAGGACTTACCCACGAGGTTGGAGGAAGCCAGAGCGGTTCGAGTCCGCTAGTGGCGAACGTGAGGAGCATCCAGGTGAGGTGACGGTCGTCTTGGACACTGGAGCTGACGTTTCAGTGCTGCCGCTGTCTTTCAAAGGTGTTGGTCGGTGATTGTCGAGGACCAGCGAGGGAGGCCTCATGAGGGGAGGCCAAACGCACCAGGCTCACGTCACCCTTTAAGACGATGAGGGCCAGGTCACGCAGCTTCGCTGTCAAATGTGTCAGAGCCTTTGCTGGCACTGGGAAAGCTGCTGAGGAGAGTTTGGAAGATTGAGGGCCAGGACGGTCTTTTTCGCCTGACCCACGGAATGTTCAGCAAAGGGTTGCAGTTCAGGAACAACTCTCCCATTGCTGGAGCACGAATTCGAGCAGTTGAGGTTTTCCAGTGGACAGAATGGGGAAGAGAAGCAGGCAGGTGAGGGCAGTCACAATATCCCCCTTCGTACCGACCGCTAACGTAGATCCCCAGGATTTTACGTATTAAAATCCTACTGAACCAAGGTGACTTTGTATTTTTTCCATTGGCGCCCTAGCTTTTTTCCCAAAAAGTGCTTTTTGTAAAATCCTTTGGACCGACGTGTGTTCAGGGGGTAGGGAACCAAGGAAAAAACAAGGAGTCCAAGCTGATCAAACGTTTAGTAAAATCCTGGGTATCTACCTAAGCCCTGGTGTCTGACTCTGGTGTTTGCAAAGACATGGCCCGAATTCTCTGTCAGCTACCACTCCAAAAAAATGCGACTGTACCATTGTTTACATTTAAAAACAAATGGTTACATGGCCCCATACGCAAGCCATCATTTGATTAAATTGATTGCAATCTTATGTTGTATATACAGCATGTGTATCTATCAGCCGAGCAGATAAATGCTGCAAAAAGCAAATGCACAAGCACAGCCACAGCAAAAAGCGTCCTCTCCAGTATCTCTAGAATATCTAAAGTCTTAGCACAACCCCAGCATCTCTACCTTGTGAAATCCTACAATTTTAGTGAAATCCTGTAGTCCTACGTGTTTTTGGAATCCTGGCGCCCTACCCTGAGCAAAAGGATTTCAAAGGAGCCCCATTTCTAGATTTTTTTCCTGGGTCCTACCTGACTTCCTTATCAGCGAACTTTTTCGCTAGTTTTTTTATTTCTGAAATAGTCACGTCTACGTCTAGGATTTCAGTATGGCGCAACCAATTTGGGGGATTGCTCAAGAACCTGGTTCAGGTGGCAGGTTGGCATTTGACAACAGGTCGACGAGTGCCATTCCTAGTGAGCAATGCCACCAAGACCTACAAGGATTCTTTTCCACAGTTCTCGAGGGTAGATTTCCCTTACAGGTCCACCCTGGTCATGAAGAAAGGTCTTTGGGAGCTGGTTGAGATGACAGAGAAAAGCCAGGAAGAGGAGGAGATTGAGGAATGCGAAGGTGAGGACAAAAGAGCAGTCACGTTCTTCGACCAGACCATCGATGATTTCACCGGTCTTGGACTCATCAGCCCAGGTGATGACGATCCTTTCCGTCGACCAGACATCCATCAGAAGTTCAACCTTGGCAAAAAGAAGAATGAGGAAGGCCAAGTTGAAGTCACAGAGGGTTGGTTTGGGAAGAGCTTTGAGGATGGAGTCTATGAGGAAGAAGATGAGGAAGAAGAGGTTGGTGAGCAGCATGAGCGCCAAGAAGGAGATCCATTTGAGAGGGAGAAGGTGGATGTCGATGAGGAGATTAATGTTGGATGCTGATTAGTAAATGGGTCCTCAATAATACTAAAATTTCCACAATTATTTTAGACCCCATGTTTGAAAAATGGGACCTGAATAATGCTAAATTTGGGGGTGCCCTAATTTTTTTTTATATTGGAAACCTAATTAATAAGGGCTTCTTTAAAACTGATAGGTTTCTTCAAAACTGACAGCTGACCAAAACCACCAATTCCTAATTAAACCCTTTATAAAACATTGCTCCTAAACAAATTTCACGGTAGTAGACCAGAAAGGCACCTGATCCTCAATAATAGATTTGTTTTTGGATTCTCAATTGTGAAAAGTTTTTTCCACTGGAAAAAAAACTGCTCATGGAATCTTCCTTTACTTAGCTCCTGAGGCCAATGATTATGATTCATTAGCTGATATAGCTTTCTCTTGAGCTGAAGATCTGAGGCTGCAAGCAAAAGGATTGCTGAGAACAATCACAAAGCACCTGGGAAAGGAAGCTGAATACAATCTATGAAAGGAATTCTCACAGGAATCCAGCTTTGTTTTGGTGGTAGCTTATTATCAAAGGAAGTTTAGTGTGCAAAACTTCCGTGTTACAGACATTCAACAGCTGTTCAATACAGCACTCATCATACACCACTCATCATACACCACTCATCAAACACCACTTATCAT